TCCTGTGTCATGGATCGCGAGTCCTGGATCTTGAGTCGTGGCTGTGGTCCTGGATCATAAGTCCTGGATGGATATCCTCGTGGATTCATCTTCCTATTATACACACATGCATTTCCAAACATTTGGACTACCTATGTTGCAAATGTATTATCTTTTCAATTTACACACGGCATCTATTGCACATCTGTCCGTCCTGGGAGAGGGATCCCTCCTCTGTTGCTCTCCCTGAGGTTTCTCCCATTTTTCCCTTTAAACTGTGGGTTTTCTCTGGAAGTTTTTCCTTGTACGATTTGAGGGTCTAAGGATAGAGGGTGTCGTATTGTCATACTGATATTCTGTACAAACTGTGAAGTCCACTGAGACAAAGGTAACATTTGTGATATTGGGCTATATAAATAAACATTGATTGATTGATTGATTGATTGATTGATTGTTGATATATTTATGATCCACGTCAAGTATTCAGTTTCGGCGGCATTTCTTCCAGTTTTTCCAAAGGTCTTCTCATCAGGGCTCTATAAATAAAGAACTACGGCAGATCTGTAATATGTAATGCAGCCGAATCGTGTACTACAATGCCGTTATGTGATGATTTCCAAAGAGAAAAGCAAAAACGCTCGGAATAAAGTATTATCTTCTTTTTAAAAAAAAGTTTTTCGGTTTTTATATGGCATGAACACCATATCCCTACATGCATTGCGGCTAAAACATCCAATCGGCAAGCTTAAACCATAGCTGAGGATCTTGGGTAATCAGTTCAGTGGCTGTGTATTGTAATGATGTTTCCGGCTATTTTTATTTTGAAATTCAGTTCCTGACGGACGCCAAAAAAGCCAGAGATTATGGAATTAAACAAATAAATAAAAACAAGGATAATTGTGTGTTATTGGTGAGTAAATAACAGTGTGTTATTTAGAAAAGAATAACAAATTAGAAGGAAATTTTTTTTTTTAAATTACAGATTTCAGTATTCTGAGGCTCTGAGCCCCATTTCTTTTCCTCACAGACGGCAACAAAAGTCCGAAATTATACGATTTAAAATGAAAGCAATAATTGTGGCTTGATATTGAGTAAGAACATGTTTTTATGAACCACACAGCTTCCGGTCTTGCACGACCCGACCGGAGAAAAAGACGTGCTGCAGGCACGAAACACATTACCAGTAGAAATACATTGCTTTTAAAATCGTTCTGTGCAACACAAAAAAAGGGTGTAATCGTGTTGGTGAACACGAATCAATAGATTCAAAATTGTGTTGGTGAACACGAAATGCCATGAGACTGGGTTGAGTATATACACGTTCTCCTGGCGAGACCTTAAATAATCTTCGTAATATCTATCAAACTATAGATCCTACACATCCACTGGACGTAGATTTTAAAAGTACAATCTACACTTCTCGCTAGAAATGTAATCAAAAAGCATTTTAATGGCCAAACTATCCTACAATTTAGGATTTTCCAGAGAGGGTTATTTTTGAATAAACGACCCACCGGAGCGTTTGCAGTCAACGGGAGCACTAGAGGTCAATAACTTTAAAACGTGATTATAGGTCGTAATAAGCTGCTGAACAATCGACCTATTTGGTCGTATGAGTTTGAGGATTTGTTGAATATTAATCAGCTTGAAGCTAATGCTAACGCTAGCATCTGACTTGCCCTCAGAAAGTTCAAGAAAGATAGAACACTCATCTGGCATCTGTCCAGAACAGAAAAGGATAACGGAAAATATACTAAATCCAGTTATAGTCATGTCAGCTACGGTTTTTTAAAGCAAGGCCGTGTAGCATTTGAAAAAAATGTTTAACATTTAAAGATTGAATTCATTAGCAATGAAAAGCATCCTTGCTCAACTAAATACACTTGAGTTTTGCTGCTACAGATTTATTTGTTCTAATATGACCCGTTTCTTTTGACTAATATAAACTAATGTCAGCTAAACATATAATATATTATGATATGCATTCGCTGTTTTATCACAAAAGTCAAACAAGAAATCAAAGCAGAATACCATGTGATCCCATCACTTCCTGTCAGAGCAGGTACATAGTTGGATAAGACAAGTCTTCAAGGATTGCTGACTGAAACAATGTAAAAAGCCAACACAAAAATATGTTTGGGAGATGCAGTGAAATTGAATGTGCTTGTTTACCATTCGGAGCAAAAGTGATAAAGCAAAGGCTATACAGTTTGACTTTAACGAGCCAGTGAAACAGCATTCTGAGCACTTCTTTGTGAAACTCAGTATATGATGCATTCCATCAGATCATTTAGAGATTTTATTTGATTGCTTGCTTAAAGAGGACCTATCATGCAAAATGCACTCTTGTACGTCTTGTATACATGAATATGTGTCCTCGGTGTGTCAGGGAAGTCACCAAGTGTCAGAAAATACAATCGTCTCTCTTTTCCTCCATACCCAAATCTCTAAAAACGGGGCTGTAACGGATCTGATACAGACTGATCCAGATTTGAATTCTTTCCTACGTCACAAAAGGGGTGCTCCGCTTATTGTTAAATTCTCCACCTATCAGGGGAATGAGAGGTTGGGCCACGGCCATTGACGCTTTAGTACATATGCCAGGCCTGTAAGTGACGCTGTAGTCTGCCACAAAAGCAGCGAAGAAGCGCATGGTTGCTCTTCTGTTTATTCTCCGCTGTGGCTCTTTTTCTCCCTCCCGGAGGCAAGCGTTTGCGCCTCCTGCTTTAAAACAAATGAATAATGACTCTATATAATCATATGTAAGGGATAATGTGCAGCGACGCGGTCACTATCGGGAAAAGAACACCGACAGGCTGATCAGGAGCCCGACGCGAAATAGCTGTATGTATCGATTTAAATTGACATGCATCCGCTAAGAAAAATAGTCCGTTGTTACCGTTTGAACTAACGTAGCAACAGCAGGAACTGCTTCGATAGCGTTTTTGAGGAGCTTTTTGATTACAGATTTGAAAAACAAATTGCTGGAAAGAGCAAATAGAGCGAAATGAGGCATGGCTAAAATGCAGGATCTGTTTGGTATTTTGAAAAAAAAACTATATTTATATACTTTATATAGGTATGGCCCTACAATATGTTGTTCAGATATAGCAGGATATGTCCCCTTTAAGTGTGCGTGGCTTACTGAGCATGAGTATGCAGCAAAATAATTGACACAAGGTTAGAGCTTAATATTTTTACATTCAAGGCAGAACAGAACTTTCTGATACATGACATTCAGGAATCTGTCAATGACTGAGAGAAACCAGGACCTATCGGATCTGAACAGATTATGGTATAGAGTGCAGGGTAGAATGAGGTCAGGTGGTTACAGAGCTAATGGGGAACAGTTGTAACTAATAGAATGGTGCAGGAATTAGTCCTAAAAGCCAGAAATAAGTCAGTTCTACCACGGGAGGGGGACGGTGCTGGAACCGTTTCTCTTCACCCACAACACTGCAACCTGTCACCTGCAGAAGTTCTGTGACGACTCCGCCATCGTTGGCCTCATCTCCAACGAGGACGACACGGAGTACAGGGAGCTGACGCAGGACTTCACCTTCTGGTGCCAGAGGAACCACCTTCAGCTGAATGCAGCGAAGACCAAGGAGCTGGTGGTGGATTTCAGACGGCGCCAACACTCCCCCCCGACACCAGTGAACATCCAGGGAGCGGACATTGAGATTGTGAAATCTTACAAATACCTGGGTGTTCATCTGAACAATAAACTGGACTGGACTGATAATTCTGCTTAAAAACGTGTATATCGTGTTATAACGTGTATCAACTATGCCATAAATCGTCTTCCCCCACTATATCAAGTACACAACACGCACACACTCCCTCTCCCCCCCGATATATCCCGGACACGGGACCAACATGTCAGACTGGCGGACGTCCTTCATTCCTGGCGACGCCATATGAAGAGGCACTCTTCGCCCCCACCGTCGTCGGACAGCGACTCCTCGGCGTGTCACTCACTTTCCCAACAGGATACCGCCCCCACCTGTATAACATGGTCGTCCCCCTGTCGGAACTACGAGTAATGAGTGACAGAGGGTGGGTGGAGGTGTCACAGGGTACTCCTGAAGGGTCCTGTTTCGACCGGAAGGAATGGTCAGACAAGTCAGAACAAGGACAGTCGTCGGCTCTACGACGGACGGGGGCCGTCCGGTGTGGTATCTTTTACCGACTACGGTGTTGTCTCAGTTTCATTCCAGACTTCCTCACGGGGGACGTGGGGCTTTCTGGAGTCGTCTTTTCTCAGAACGAGGACAGGGAAGAACATGA